CCCCCCCCCCAACATCTGTGGAACATATCAATCCTATTGGAGGCACATACACCATTCCCCTCTCCTCTGGGCTGTGAAAGCTTCCTTTTCAGAGTGGGAATGAATCTTCAGTGCCCAACATTATTTCAAAAAATTGTTCCATGTCTGTGGCTTCAAAAGCAGAAATTCCAAAGACTAATTTTAATTTGACTTTAAATTTTTTTTTGTTCACTTTCTGCTGTGTGTCAGGTGTCTTCCATCACTTCTCAGAATCACTTCAGCAATTGCATCTTTAAGATGGTGATAATGCGTCCTAAAACCAAAAATGCATGCCTGCAATAATAGGCTTCTTCAGCTTTGACAGATATCCAATCTTGCTTCTGCTGTCTGGGGCCTGTGTTCCCTGAAAGCGGCCTTGCTTCTCTTCCTGCTCAGGGCTGAGACTTAGAACTTGTGAAACGTGACTGGCGTGCTGCCAATATGCTTCTTCAATCTGCTTAAGTGCCAGGGTTTGGTCCTCTGGCTTTAGTGCAAGCCCTGGTGACTTTGCAGTGTTTCCTTCCTGGAATCTAGAAACAGGGCAGCTCTGCTGCATAGCTGACACGGGGCTTCCCCTGCATTTATTTAAATAAAATGTCTCTCTTTGTGCACAGGAATGTATCCTCTCTGGTATTATGTCCGTGAATGGAAAGAAGGTCCTTCATATGGATCGCAACTCTTACTATGGAGGTGAAAGTGCATCCATTACACCACTGGAGGATGTAAGTACTGAAGACTCATACTCAATCCTTATACCTATCTGATTGCTCCCTAACTACATGTCTCAAACTTTTCCAGTCATACAATTGGCATTCCTCTTCAGTACAATGGTACCAGGGATGACAAAAATAAAACTACCAACATCCTTATCCTTTACAATCTTTGGTCTATCGTCTGATATGACTAAATAGTAGCTGTGCTGTTATCTAAATGCTTGATGAGATTGGAGAAACAACAACTAGTTATCTAGTTAAAGTTGAATTTTTTTCCCCTCCTTCAGTCTCACAGAGGTAACTTACCCAAGTGTCTTTACTGCTGTATGGCTTTCTCAGTGAACGTTGCCCTGAAAATGGAGTAGGTGTCTGACTGAAACAAACTCAAAAGTAAAAGCACTAATGCATTTTGGTCTTTCCAAGCTTTGCAAACTAGAGTGGGCACTTGTTCAGTTCACTTAACTACAGGATTACAAAATTCTCTGAACATCCTACTCCAGAAGCTGAAGTTGCTGTAAATAATCAATTAAATGGTCTCTAGACAATCTGATCATGAGTCTGCTTTGCAAGGCAAGGGAGTATTTACTTGCCTGGAAACTTGATTTTAAAGCCTCAAATGCAGTGATCTGCTCAGCGAGGTAGCAAAGTTGATCAGATTACTCTTTGCTGTGCTGTACAAAAGCAGTTTTGGTTCAGCGGGTCGTAATCCTGATAAGCCCATCTCCAATTCCAGGGCTCTGCATTGAAGGAAAACAACTCTTCATGAGTACGAGCAGCCTGCTTGCTGCTGGACCTGCAGTAGTACTAGATGTGATTTGCACATGGCATTGTTCATTAGTCAGGTTTCCAAACTAAATATCTTGCATGTGTGAGTCAGTAACTTGTTGCCTGGGAAGACTGGGGTGGTCAGATTTCCTTGCAAACTGATAGTATAGCAAAGAAAGTAATACTTCTGTCTCTGTTTTCACCCAAAGCTTTATAAAAGGTTTAATCTACCAGGGTCTCCCCCAGAGTCAATGGGACGAGGGAGAGACTGGAACGTGGACCTGATTCCCAAATTCCTCATGGCTAATGGTAGGTAACTTGCATCTCCTTGAGGCTATTTCTGACTAAAGACAGGGTCCCAACTTCAGTATTTCTTTCTTTGTATTGGTTCTGAGGAGCTGTCTTGAAGGTCTCTTCCAGGGCTGCTTGAAGTAGTTATTCAGATGAGTCAAAAAATATTTGTTCTCCCACTGGGTCTGCCCTCCTTTGGGTAGGTGCCATAACTCACTGTCCTAGCTGAGAGAGATGTTTACAAGCAAACAGTCTCAAATGTTGGGGTCCGTGTCTTGGAGAAGCAGAGCATGTTACAGAAGAACCTTAAAAATCAGCTATACAACCTTTCTAAAGGCAGGGTCTCTAATGGTAGAAGTGCATTTATTCTAAACTGGATTTTGCAGTCTACTTACACTTGTGCTGAACTTGAATAGGATAGCAAATGGGGTTAGAGGCCAGTTGCTTGCAGATATCTTCACCCCACCCATTCCTTAGTGACTCTTCTAGTCACTGGCCACATTGCTAGTTCCAGCCAACTTGCCGTTGAGCACTGCAGCTACCATTTAGCAGAAAAAGTGGCTGGTCAGCAGTTAACTTGTCCTCTGGTTTTCCCAGTTCCTAGGTCAGCTTTAAAACATTGCTAAATGTTTGTTATTACTGCTACCAGAAACATTGTTCATGAAACCTATGTGAGACACTTTATTCTTGCTTGTGTTCCCTGGTTGGCAATACTGTGTATTGGCAAGATGGACAGCGTGGTTTGGCCACTGTCAACCCTTCTGGATTGTGGTGTATGCATGAGAAGTCACTTAGACCTTGAACATGTATGCCTAGGCAGGAGTGTGGAGGATGCCCAGATCTTCCATCCCATCCTGTAGTCCACCGAGACAGAATCCAAAGGCCAGACTGAGTCCAGATGTTTGGTGCCTCCATGGCTGTAACTGTATAAGCATACGTGAATTAAACCCAGGTCTCCGGTGCTGCAGGTGGGGATTCTACCAATACTGTGGGTCTGGCATGAGTCATAACACATTAAGCCCTGCCTACTGAACTTTGCGTTCAGGCAGCTCACCCACAGACTGATAAAGAAGCTACATCCTTAGTTCAGTTGTTTCTTAAGGTAGCATGCCACTCAACTAACATGAATTTCTGGGTGACGGTAGGAGTGAAGACCAGTCTTGCCTAAAGTAGCTGCCTTGCTTGTAAACTTTGTCTGGATATTTGGCTGTCTATTTTTATAGAGCACAGCACTGTCCCTTTGTTTTCTGCCACTGCAATTCCAGTCTTGTGAAATCAAGATTTGACAAGTATTAGACAAGTAAAAAATGTCACTAGCAGCATTACTAAAGTGAGGACACTGGGAACTGTACCTACGTATTAGCAGCGCTTGAAGTAGCGGAAAGGGAACTTTTGCAGTCTTCTGCAAACTGGTTAAGATGGGTGTCCACACTTCCAACTCTCTGACCCTGCCATGTCTCGAGTGTATGGGGAGATACTGTGGCAGAGCATTGTTATGAGCATTTTGGGAGTTGTTCTGAAGCTGGAGGAGAAGAATAATTCTCTTCACAGAGGGCTCATCACCCAGATAAAGATCTGCTGTTGGTTTCTTGTTTGCAGGTCAGCTGGTAAAGATGCTGCTTTACACAGAAGTCACTCGTTACCTAGACTTCAAAGTGATTGAAGGAAGCTTTGTCTACAAGGGTGGCAAAATCTACAAGGTTCCTTCTACTGAGGCAGAAGCCTTGGCATCCAGTAAGCAGTGTCCCTTCTTTCTTTCTTTTTTTTTCCCTTGGATATTGTTTTCCTTCTGGGGCCACAGTTGTAAGCCTACAGCTCTTTGGGGTATTGTCATTGGGTTGTATCGGCAGTATTGAAAATCTCCCAGATGAACTGGGAATGCATGCACGCTAACAGAGTGGATAACCAAGTTTTGTGTAATGTGCATCATTGAACTACTCCTAATGGTGTTGCCACATCCCCTTCCAGCAATACGTTCTGCTCCAAGTATAGGGTTTGCCTCTTCAGTTGCTCTTGCTTCTTCACAAGTATGATACTAGGTTAATTTAGATTTAGCATCTAAGGCTGATTCCAAGCTAATCATTCTCTACGCTAAGGGTTGGCAACCATTTAAAGTGTTGGGCCAGGGACTCGTAGTTGGTGACCTGGCTGCTGCCACCTCCTCTGCGGGGAGAAGGTGGCTGCTGATCTTGGAGTGGAGAGGTGTGGAGGAAGAGAACTTATCTCCAGTAAGCAGTGTACTGGGGAGAAAGGGTACCTATAGTAAGCGGCACTTGCAGGTGGGGTAGGAGTGAGCAAGGAGGGCTGTAGAGGGGATCAGCAGCACTGTGCTGGGCAGAAAAGGGGGTGTGCTGTGTGAGCTGCTTGCAGCTGATTCCTGTGTTGCAGACCAGATCCAGGCGCTTTGTGGGCTGAATGCAGCTCGGGCACTGGTTGTTAACCCTGCTGTCCTTCATTTCAGGCCTGAAGTGAAACAACTTGGAGGGCAGATGATCTTGAGCGATTTCTTATGTGTGCTCTCCTTAACAAGCCTAGCCTGGTACAGCTGGCTTGTCTGCAATTTGGACTCTTCTGAAGGATTGTCGTACAGCTCAAAAAGAGGAGTAGGGAAATAGATTCAGTTGCCAGTTCCAGCAGAAAATTGCTCTTAATTCTTAACTTTCTTTTGCTTTAAATGTCCTTTATTTATTAAAATAAAGATGCTTCCTGTCTTGATGTTGCAGTGTAGTCTTACACACATGGAAGCGTTGCAGAAACTGCATTTTCACAGCTGCAGTACAAAGTAGGAGCTAGTTTGCAAACTAAACAGCTTTGTGTCCAGAAGGAATGCTGATGACTACTCCCCCTGGATTTTGATTAAGAGCCTAATGAAAACTGAAAGTGCTCTTTTTTTTTCTCCGAATGCTAAAGATAGTGTCTCAATCCTGTACAGGGTGGGCACATCTTGCACATGCGTTAATGTGCCGTAATTATGGCACATTAAGTTTAGTACCTGTAATGAGTACTAACCTAATGTCTTGTAACTGGTTCTGTTGTGCAGTAGCACCAGTGCATGTGTTTTAAGTGACACTAATGTGCAGTAGACTATTAGTCACACGCATTAATGTGCCTTTTGCTGTTAATCTGCACGAGATGCTAAAAGTGCAGTAGATGTGCCTGGTGAGTCCACAGTCTCTTCAGATACAGAAATCTCCAGCTGAGAACCACACAAAGCCCTTTTTGCAGCTTTCTAGTTTATTTGTGTGTGTATAGGCATGTGGGGAATACAGAGGGGATGGACCTGTGTGTCAGGGGATCCATTACTTTCTAATATTGGAGTAGATACAAGACAAAAGTGTTTTTGTCTCCACTGAATCAGTCCTTAGAGTTGTTTTAACTGGGCTTCAGTAATGAACAAGGGAGTTCCACAAGGTCGCATCCAGCTTTTGGGTTCTGGACTCTCCAGTGCTCTGGGATGGAAATGATAACACTGAACCTCTTGCAGCATAGCCTCTTGTAAGCCCAAATGCCTAAACTGGGGAAGAGTTACTCAGCAAATTCTTGTTTACGGGTTTGTTTGGTTTTTTTTTTTATGTCCATGTCAAACACTTGTACAGGGAAGTGTTGCCAGATGGGCAGCATGCCGTAAGAGTTGGTCAGAGACTGAATCTTCCTTCTCCTTGCAGTTGCAATGTGATAACTGCTCCAGTTACTTGGAGCAATGCTGAATAGCCATCTCCTGGAAAGTGTGGAGCCTGGAGTAGTCCAGTTTCTTATTCCTTGAGTCATTGAAGAGTTCCCAAGAGTAACCTGAAGTGTCTGCTTAAATTTAGCGAACTGCCCAAGTGCCTCTGCTGCCTACTACCTGTTTTCATGGTGCTGTCTGAGTGACCTAGTTTTGCCTCTATCCTGTTCACAGAAGGACCAGTATTCCCATCTTCTTTTGCAGACTCAAGCTGGAGGCAATGAAGACAGTTACTAAGTCGTGGGAAGGATTCAAAAGGCTATGGAGGGACTAGAGAAATAGGCTTGCTTTTATTTCGCAGCACACTGGAGGGGGTAGGAGCCAAAGCTGCTTAACTGATGGAAGGTGATTGGGCTCTTACTTAGTTTAAGGCTGAGCCAAAAAAGCTTACAGGTCCAGGATAGTACTCTCCCCTCTAATGGCAACTGGGAGTAGTGAGGTTATCTGCGAGCTGTAGGAGTAGCTCTCTGTACTACTGCCGAGTGTCTAGCACATCTGCTGAGTCCTGTTCTAATATTGAAAGCTACTCTGCACTTCCCTAATAAGCAGACTAGCTTTCCAGCTAATCTGGAGCTTTGAGTCCTTTAGCCCAAGCAGCACGATCTTTAATTTGGGGCTAACTTGGACAGATTTTAAATTTTGGGACACACTGAAGGGTTGTTAGTCCTTGCCAGTGCGCCTGCTGTAATGCTTTGTGGACTGGCAGATGCCATAGCTTTACAAGTCAAGCCTTTTTCCGACTTGAAACTGCTTTCTGGTCTCTAATCGGACTCCTTGATCTGTAGCAAAGATCTCTGCTCTGACAACGCTTTTTGTTCCTTGTAGGTTTGATGGGCTTGTTCGAGAAACGCCGTTTCAGGAAATTTCTAGTGTATGTTGCTAACTTTGATGAAAACGACGCCCGAACATTTGAAGGTGTCGACCCCAAGAAGACAACTATGCGAGATGTGTATAAGAAGTTTGACCTAGGCCAGGATGTCATAGACTTCACAGGTCATGCTCTTGCACTGTACAGAACCGATGAGTAAGTGTGTGTGTGTGTGTGTGTGTGTTCACTGGCTACCAACACCACTTGGGATTGGGCGCTGCTTCCGTGCCCTGCGAGTTAGGGAGACTCTCCTTGAAGGGTATGGGGTCTTCATCAGCTGCAAATGCACAGAGCTTACCTTCAGGGAAGGGGCATTTATGAACGTTTGGAACGATGGATTTTTAAGTGCTGGGTCCTTAGTGCTGGTGGGATGTTTCTGCTTCTGATAGACTAGTAGTTTGGGTTAAATATCCCTCAAAGGTTACCTAAAGGCTTAAATGAGCAATCTAGCAAAACCTAAAGTGTTTGTTTCTCTCCTTCTGTTCTCCTCAATGGGGAAGTGTGCTTCAGGAGTGGCAGCTTAGGAAGAGGGGAAAGGCAGCTCCATCAGAGGCAACCTAACTCTTAAAGCACACCCTAATACATATCTGTCTTGGGTCTGGTGAAACAAGTGCTGTCTGCTGAGATCTTGACTTTCTTCCCCCTGTTCTTTCCAGCTACTTAGATCAACCATGCCATGAAACTATCAACAGGATTAAACTGTACAGTGAATCACTGGCTAGATACGGTAAAAGCCCTTACCTGTATCCCTTGTATGGTCTTGGAGAGCTGCCCCAGGGATTTGCAAGGTGAGAATTTTTTAGCTGCGAGTTTCAGCTTGTTGGGCAAAATCTTGGGTGCTGGCCCTGGGAATGTGCTTAATCTGTTGCATGGCATTTCTTTACTTCCTTTATTTCTCTGAGAATTCCCCTTGTGGAGTGGGGTGTTTAGGTATGGGGGGGAGGCAGTACAGGAAGGGGGATTTTTGAGCCCTATGCAGGCCTGCATGAGCAGTGTTTATGGGCACTACATCCCTCTTTTGGGGGGAGAGGTGTCTGGGGGGGTGGATTAGATTCCTCTTTGGCCCCAAGCCAGCTCAATGGACTTGAGAGGAAGTGGTTATGCGCTTAACTTCCTGTCTGAGAGGCAGCCAAGCCCTCTACAATGTTAGTTCAGTATTGGAAAAGACCTGCTTGGTTACAGACTGGTTTAGCATCGAGCTTGCTGACACTTGCCTTAATTCACCAGTTCGTAGGGCTTTTGATGCACTGTCACTGGGGCTTCAAACACTCCCTTGCACTGTGGGCCAGGCCTAGACTGCACTGGGCTCTGACAGAGGCTGATGGCCAAGGAAGTGGGGGCCACAGCAGTGGTGCTGGGCAAAATGGCTGTCGGATGATGGGGACTGTATTGTCCCTTGCTCGTTCTCCTGCCAGTGTTCACTGTAGCCCAAGGGCCCCGAATTCAGGCCACTTCCCCAAACTACTGGTGGCTAGGTAATGCAGCTCTGTAAGCTAGATCAGCCAGCAGGCCATGCATTTAACACCCTTGCACTACAGAAATTGGCTTCCTGCATTATTCATGCCAGAGACGATTTCAAAATTGGCATAACTACATCAAATTAAAGCCTTGTAGAATTGAGGAGCTTCAGCAAATAGTGCCATGGCCAGGGTTTCTCTTGCTGTTGGTGTTCACCTGGAAGCAGTCTAGATTTCTCACAAGTGAGATCCTGGTTCCTGGGAAGGCCTGCAGGCTGGCTTGCACTGCCTGCTCTCTCCCACTGCCAGCAATGGGAATTGGGAGAAGCAGGGTTGAATCTGGGAGTAGTATTTCCAGCAACCCTAAACAGTTTCCTACGTGCTGCACTTCGAAGCTTGTAGCCTGCAGTCTACTCGTAGCTTGGCTATCCAGACACTTTGAACTGGTGCTTTCTGTTCGAAGTTGATGTGATCGTGGCTTGGGAGAAAACCAGCCTTTAAATAGGAAATGAGAGCACAGTTGAGCAGTCTGTCTTGGAAATGGTTAACATGGTTGGGCTCTTACTTAGGTACCTAAGCTTTGGGAATTCCCATGTGGTGGGTTTTTAAAAAAAAAACAAACAAAAAACAAACCCTGCAGATGCATAGATCAGTGTGTAGTAATCCAACAATTCCACTAAATGCAAGCAGTTGTTACAATGAGGTTTAACAGTTCAGTAAAAAGCTGCAGCTGCTCTTAAAAGAATGAGGCAAACTTTTTGGAGTAAGATTTGCCTATTTGTGCTACTGAACTTAGCCAGGGGCACCAGAGCAAGTAAAACTGCCCCAGATCCTTGAATGGCACGAATGAAACGCTTGATTTCAGATGGAAGTGTCATGGAAATCCAGGCCTGAGGGCAAGACCATATCTTGTTACTGCAGCATATTTTCAGGCTTTCAGGCCAGCTCCTTTTCAAGACCACAGAGTTGTGTTACCAAGAGCTTAATCAGTACATGGGGGGGCGGGGGGTCTCTTGAAGCAGAGTAGGCGAACAAGTAGCTGGGATGGCTGTCCAAATGCGGAGCCTTGTGCTAATGTGGCATTACTCTTGTAGGCTAAGTGCTATTTATGGAGGCACCTACATGCTGAACAAGCCAATTGAAGAGATTGTGATAGAAAATGGCAAAGTGGTTGGTGTGAAATCTGAAGGGGAGGTAAGTAACTCTTGTGACTGTCTTTGTCTCTGAACTGCTTGCTGTCAGGACCCTGTATGTGTGTGTGTCTCTCTGCTGTTCCACAAGAGCAAGCATACAGTATTCAATAAATCTCTTGGTTTGGTGAATTTAGGCTCATATTTCAGGATTTTTCATTTGGAAGCGTTATAAAAGCAGGATTAGAAGTATGCTTAAGCCTTGAACAGTTGGGACAGTGAGGTCACAAGCAAAACAGAGTTTAAGGTTGTTTGCTTGACTTCAGATGTAGTTCTTGCTATCCACTAGATGTGTGGTGAACTCTTCAGATAGGGTTTTCCTCTAATCCAGAGAGCCAGGATTGCCCAGGCTTTGCAGTAAAGCAGGTCAAGCAAAACCAAAGTCCTTTCATTGCATTCAGACTCAGAAGTAAAATTAAGCAAGATATGAAACGGACTGTACCCTTGACATTAAGAAGTATTAGCTGCCTGTATACTCCTGGCAGCAAGTCTCCCTCCTGCCTCCCCAGATGTACAGCAAGTTGATATGACAAAAATCATGAACATCTACTGGCCTAGGGAGACTCTGCTTGCCTGTCTCTCAAGAAAGGCCTAAACTTTAATATGAACTACCTTGCGCACATCTAATGCACAATTAGCAGGGTATTTAATGCATGCTAAAATTATTTCCCCTCATTAAGCAAGTTGGAATGATGCATATAAACCAACACTGGAAACCACAACAGATACTGCATATTATAGTCCAATTCTGACCCTCCTCTTTAGACCTTCGTCAGGCCACTTGGACACTTAACTGAGTGCATCCATAATGCCTAACCTCTATGCTGTAGATGATTTGATCACTGTCTAGGTACATTTCATCCCGATCAGATTATCAAGTCTGACCCCCTGCCATGGGCAGGAAAAGATGCTGGGATCAAACAACCCCGGCTAGGTAATCGTCTAGCCTGCTTTTGAAGACTCCCAGGGTAGGAGCAAGCACCACTTTGCTTTGATGTCTAGTCTGATATTCCAGTGAGACTTAGTGCAGTTTTTTCCAATAAATGCAGGAAATATTGTGGGTTTTCTTTTTTAATTATAATTCTGGCTTATAAAATAAAGCCCGTCCAGCAAAATCTGCAGGATGTTGCTAACCCCAGCTCTGTCTTGACCATTCTTCCAAGCTATAGGCAAGGCCTAAAATTAGGAGCAACCGTTTTTGTATTGGGGTAATGCTGAAGATGAATCTACTGCTTGTGGAGGTGGAATATAAATATGGTGTAGGCAGAACACCTTCTAAATAGTTCACAGAACCACAATGCAGCTACTACCAGCTAATCTAGTCTTCTGCCTAAGCTGTTAATCTTACAAATTTTCACTGCAGTTTCCTGACAGGCACCTTGATGCTTCAGTGATGGCATTTGTAATATGCCCTCTAGCTCTTGCCCAGAAACGGTGCTTCTAATGAATTCTATGCCATGAGAATGCTTCTTGTAAGATAAGACTTCCTGCTTACGGCTCCTCACTTGGGGGAATTCACTGCACTCTCTTTCTGTCCTTGGCAGGTTGCCCGCTGCAAACAACTCATCTGCGACCCCAGTTATGTTTCGGATCGTGTAACAAAGGTTGGTCAAGTGATTCGAGTAATCTGCATCTTAAGCCACCCAATCAAGAACACAAATGATGCCAACTCATGCCAGATCATCATTCCACAGAATCAGGTCAACCGGAAATCAGGTGCGTGGGGAAGATTGGCTGCTACCTGCTTGCCTGTTGGTGTGCTGAGCACTTGTGTGTTAGGCTGGCGTGTTCCTTAAATCGTATTAAGTGCCTGTCCTTGTGCCAACTGGGTGCTCATAAAATTCAATGAAGTCAGAGATTTAACAAAACTACTAGTTTGTAGTAGAAGTTTGGTCTCCTAGAAAAAGTAGGACTGAAAGGGACCTCATGAGATCTTCTTTTGGCCAAGCTTCATTAGCGGCATAAACCATCCCGGTCCAGTATCTGTCCAACCTGGTCTTGGAACATTTCCAGAGGTGGTGGAATCTATAGCTCTAGGTGTGACCTCTTCCAATATGTAACCATTCTCCTAGAGAGACCTCTTTGTAATCTCAGTATGTTTCTCTGCTGCAGGCTATTGCTTTTAGTCCTGTCCCTTAAGCCACAGAGAATAGTTTTAGGAAATCAGCCTCACAAGATTGTGATTGCTCTTCTTTCTTTTGGTGTCTTCCCCACAAATGCTTCCTCCTTGGAAGATTGTGAATGCTGCTGTGGCCTGGCCCAGCTCTTCTCATCTCTTACTTTTATCAGCTGCGGTTTCAGTTTCTTGGAAAAACTGCACACATTCTCTCCTCAGTGCTTTCCCTCAAAGGGGATGAACAAGACTCTGGTCTCTTAGGTTGTTTCCTCTTTTGCTTTGCACTGCTGTCCTTGGAGTTGAATGGACACTGAATGAGCAAAGAAAACGCCCTGCTTACGGCATAGTGATGGCTTCTGAGCTCTTTCCCATGTGTGAGTTCCTGGCCATCTCCCATAGTAGTTGGATTCTCTCCTGGTGCAGAAGGCAGATGCTGCTGTCACTTAACAGGTAGTATTTGGGGCATCTAGAAATCATCACCACTTGCACATGTAGATGCACCCACTGTGACACTTTACTGCACAGACTAACTTGCTGTGCAGTAAAATGTTACTGTCTACATGTGTGCCGCAGTAAGGGCACAGTATGTTAATTTATCCCACTTTAGAATAGTCCTGTTGGACACAGGTTTTATCTGATGCAGGAGTAAATTACTGTGCATAAATGCACATGTAGATGGTAATGTCGGGATTAGTTTACTTTGACTCAGATTGTGCCACAGTTTTATTCAGTCACATTTATTGCACATGCAGACATACCCAGCGTATCCACAACTACAGAGCCAGCATTCAACTGCTCTGTGTGTACACTACAGTGATCAGAAGGCTTTTCAAAATGACTAGGACCTTGTTCTTCTTGAGCACCAAGTAGTTTGAGTCCAGTGAAACCTGTAATTTTGACTTGGCCTATGTTTTGGGGGCCTGAACTAACAATCCCATCAGTTCAGTCTTTTATTTGAATCTGATGTGACTGCAGTTCAAGGCAAGTGTGTAAACCAGAGTGGAACTTTCTGCTTTTTAAAAGCCACCTACTGAGATTTGTCTCTTTTTTTTTTTAATAGTTGCTTAAACCAGGTTTAAACATGTCTGACTTGGTTTAAGCCTCGTGCCTACAACTCGAGGAGGAGTTGTGCGGTGTGGCTTGGGGCCAGGCTGCCCTCTCCTGGACACAGCTGGAGCTGCAGTTTTCAGCTCTCAAATGTGGTGTCCTCCTTTTGAGTCGGCAATGGACTTGCTCAGCTCAAGCAATGGAGGCAGAAGAATGAATTTGGTTCCTGCCTTACAGCTGTGGATCTCTATCAGAGGGTGTATGTTGAATACCTTTGAATCAAAAGTTCTTTCCTAGATCCTTTGACATGCTTCTGAAAACAGGGCTAGATGGGACCCCACAAGGTCCTCTAGTTCAGGCCTCTGCTCAAGGCAGTATCATCCCTGACTAAACTATCCCAGCCCAATGCCTGTTGTAGCCTGAGGGTTTTCAAGAGCATGCAGGGAGATTCCACAACCACTTTTGGTAGCCTGTTCCAGTGCTTGACCACCCTCATAGCTGGAAAGCTCCTCCTAATTGCCAACCTAAACTACTTCTGCTGTAGCTTGAGGCGGCTGCTCCTCTGTGGCCACAGAAGAGTCCATCTTGTTCTCTCTCTAATGACCCTTAAGGCACTGGAATGAATGGGACAGGTACATGGATGGATACTTCTTGTGGGCCATGTACATACCCAGTTAATCTCTGTTAACATCTTAAGGTCCCTGCCAGCATAACCACCTAGCAGATCAGCTGATGCGTGATATGAATAACCTCTGACTACTTTTTGTATGTCATCCTAGATATCTATGTCTGCATGATCTCTTCTGCACACAATGTGGCTGCACAAGGGAAGTACATTGCCATTGTTAGTACCACCGTGGAAACAGCAGATCCCGAGAGAGAAATCAAACCTGCCCTGGATCTCTTGGAGCCGATTGAACAGAAGTAAGCTTTCCTGCTTGCCCCAGCTGTCGGTCTCTTAGCTGCTCCTGTGCATCAGGAATCTGCCTGACTTGGACTATTGCTACTGCAGTGGTGGCAGACTCATCCTTGGACCTTGAGGACGTGGGGTAGAGACTCCATTGGCATCGGGTCTCTGTCACCGAGTTGCCAAGCTGATTGCATCTTGGGGCCCCTAAATTTCCTTTTCCAGCTCTTGGAGCTTCACGGTCAGTTCTTGCCGTTTGGTCCTGGCACTTGAAAACTGACTTGGCCTCTCTGCTGTGGGGAGGTCCTTGTATTGGTATCCTAAAGCATTGGGTAATTAAAGGCAAGCTAAAAAATGTCTTCTCTCTTAGGTTTGTTAGCATCAGTGACCTGTTTGCACCAACTGACTTGGGAACTGAAAGCCAGGTTAGTATGAACGGCCAACAGCCAGATTGATATGTCTGTGTGTAAGGGGAGAAACTGGAAATGCTAAGCTGTGAAACTTCTTTTTCCAGATCTTTATTTCTCGCACTTACGATGCTACCACTCACTTTGAGACGACATGTGACGACATCAAAGATATTTATAAGCGGATGATGGGATCAGATTTTGACTTTGAAGAAATGAAGCGCAAGAAAAACGATATCTATGGGGAGGAGGAACAGCAGTAATGAGCAAATGTCTAATTAGGAGAAATTTAAATGGGCTAATATGAATATATAAGGAACTTAATGAACACTGTATGAAATTCAATATTGTAAGGCCTGCTTTTGTAATCACATCTCTGAGAGATTGAAGAGTACTGCACTGTTAAATGCTCCCCTTCTGGATATCATGTGTTTAACTATTTCATTCTAGTAGGGCTGCTGTCCAGATGACTGACCTGATTTAACCATTACTAACCTTGTAAGCAAACAGCAGACTGTTTGTCAGACTTAAGTGTTGGTGCATACTGAAATAACTCATTGACAGCTGTGTTACTTTTTTTTTTGTATTTTTAATCATTTGTAAACATACTTCACAATGATGTGCTTCTGGTGTATTAGTAACCTTGACAGATGTCATTCAGACCTGATATTGAGAAACACCTCAGCTGAGCACCCCATTGCTGTGGACAGCATCCCTAAAGTCTTACCCATCAATCTTAACTCTGTGGCAAGTTGTATTATGGACAAAGCCCACCTCTATTGTAGCAGCAACTGTTGGCGTAGTTCTGGGCACAGGGCCTAACCCACACTTCAGCTTCTAAAACAGTTTACATCAGTTGGAACACAACTGTGCCTAAAGGTTCCTTTTGTGTTTTAATCCAATAAAATTGAGAGAACAAATTACAAAGCAGGCAAGATGTGAAAGTATTTTCTGTACCCATGTGGCTTCTTGGATGGACCAAACTGCACTGCAGTATTGATATGACAGAGCCTGTGCTCCTGATTGTCTCTTGAAGGCTCCAAATGATTTCTGTACTGCGAAGTAAAGCCAAATTCTGGAAACCAGTCCTGTGCTCTGGTCTGATTCGCTCCCATAGTGTACGAAGGGCAGCCACTTTCCCTGAGATCTCCAAGCGGTCTTGCCTTAATAGCAAAGAGCAGACTTCCTTGGTGTGTATGTGTTTCTTTTTCTCTGCTGCAGCTGTTTCTAAAGGAAGCCTGCATTTTACTGGCAAGTACTTGTCAGCCTCCCTGCTGAGGTAGGGGAGAGGACTGAGCACTGCCATGCTGAATGGCACCTGGCCCCAGCTTGCATCCCCTCATGTGCTGTTACAGCCATTAATGGGGACAGGTACAGCTTTGCTGGTGGCCAGGTCTGAGCACAGCTCTCCCTGTGGTCATGCCAGGACTGATTTGAGCTCTGTGAGTCTCCCTTGCCTGGTACAGACCTGCAAGCAGTGCAGCATCTTGCTTTGAAAGGGTAAAGAACAGTCCAGCTGGATGTTGGGTAATGGGCCTGGCTGCCGAATGTCTTGCAGGCCTCTCTCTAAGCTTTTCTCCCCCAACAGCTGCTTCTGATCAGTCCATTTCTAGATGCTAGCCAACCCTCTTGTTCTCAGGAGTGTTTCTGAGGTAGGAGCTCCGCTAGAGCGCTCTTACCCCCTCCAAAATATCAGTGGTGACAGTACAGGTCCTTTGTATGGGGCTGGAGCCCAACTTGGCCAGGAGGGGGAGTGCTAAGACTTGACACTAGCCCTCCCCACTCTGTCCTGTGCAAAGCTGGCTTTTCTCTTGGCCTGAATGTGACTTGAGTCCAAACACAACTGTTAGTTAAATGCTGACTCTCCAGCGCTGCTGAGCTCTTGGCCTGAAGCAGCAGGCAGGTGACCTGTGCACTGAGTGTGGTTACTTCAAACCAGTGTTTTCCTCAAGAGGAGCAGAGCCCCTGCTGGGGATACTTGTAGTAGCCTTGAAAGAAATTGGGAGCAGATGCACATGCTGTTTGAAAGGGCCTGGAAGTGCCCAAGACCCTCCACCACAGCACCTCTTTAAACCAAGTACTGCTCTGAGCACTTGGTTACGTGTGCATGGGCACAACACGGGAGCTTGGTTTCAAGTGCCTCTGCCAGAGCTGGCTCCAATCCCCTCTCCTCTCCCCTGTGAAGGGGAGGAGAGATGGCTGGGGCTCCAAAATGCCCTGCATGTCCAGACTCCCCCTCCCCACCCCACCATGTGAGGAGCTACAGCGTGCCACAACCTACTCTAGCACCCCTGGGCTCTTGCTGGAAGAATTGGCAGCGTTTTTATCCGTTCCAACCAGGAATGGCACAAGGGTATTTCTAAATGTCTTTCACTTAGAAGTGTTTCTGTTGTTACTATCAATGGCAGGTCAGTCTGGCTTCTTGTAACCTAGGCAGTTGATTTCCATCTTTGGCTTGTCCCATCAGGTAGTTAGTACCAGCAAAGTGCAGGTTTGGCAGGGGGGGTGGGAATTAAATGCCTTGATCCTAATGGCTGACTCAATGCTAGCAGAGCTTTAAAGATCAGAGCCCCTCTGAAGGCCTACTAAAATTAGAGGCTGCTGATGGTTTAAGAGGTAGGAAGATCCTTTTCCTTGGGGTAAGAGCCTTCTTGGGAGCCTCTGCATTGCTACAAATTCAAATACACAGACAAGGATAGTGTTCTTCAACTCCCTTAAACACTTGATAGTGGTTCTGGGCAGTCCCTCGGTCCTCAAACAGCATTTTTTGAATGCATCTATTAATTGCCATTGGTACAAAGAGTACTAATGTCTTAGTTCCTTGTCTGAATCTACTGCTTTTCGTGTTGGTAACCTTTGGGAGAGCTTGCTGCCGGATGGCAATTTAAGCTGTGAGAAGAACGTACCCTCTTCTAAAAACATCAGCTTTTTATGCCATTGGACAGGGCGGTGAAACAAAGGGAGTTTTTATAGGACTGGCTGTTGTAGGAGACCAACTCTGTGAGCCTGAGCTTTTTACTTTTGTGTTGCAAGTTGTACTCACTTGACTTGAAATGCTTTGTTATAACCCTGCTGTCTCTTCAGGTGCCAGGTCTCCTGCCTACAAGCCTTCAGTATTAAGCCACTTGTCCCCTTTGGGGGAAGCAGAGGGGAGAGGTGCCACCACCTCAGGCCTTCACAGGTGCCGTCTCTACAGGAAGGTAAATGAACAGCTTCTGTGTCTGTGTGTTGGGAGAAGTAGACTTGGACTCTTTCAGCTTCTGGAAAAGGATCTTCCCTGGGAAAAGTTGATTGCTTCTAAGACGACAAGGTAGGCTCCCCACTCCCCCCCCAAAACATCTTTGATCAGTCCTGCTCTTTAGCATTTCCACTGCTCCTTGCATGTGCAAGCAACTGTTTGCATTTTTCTTATTGTGAACTAGGAGTTACGTAAACTGTGATTCAGCCTTTTGGAGCCAGTTGAGTTACTCCCGTCGGGCGAGAGGGAAACCAGATGAGAGTGCAGCTGACGGAGAAGTTATGGGGCACATTAAAGACCTGCATGACATCACACATGGTACAACTGCTCTAGTTTCTGCTGCAGGGGTCAGTCAGGTCATTGCTCTTGCACACAGTGAGAGCTGGGATCAAACTGGGTTATCACCTAGCAGGCAACTATCATTGTAGTATTTTTTGTTCAAGAGATGTAGATGACAGGGCCTGTGATGGGCACCAATACCTTCTGGATCACTCCTTTCTTCAAAACAGTGACGTGTGATTCGCAAGACAGCAGTCAAAGCGACCGGTGCTGGTTTTTGAGCCAACCGGTCACAGGCATCCAGGTGCCAATTGAAAGCTTCATCAAAAAATTTCTCAAGCCCACAAAAAAAAAATGTCTGGGGTATCACCAGCAGCAAGTGATGTTTGTAGCCTAAGCTAGCCAAAGGCCTTTGCGGCTTAGGCCGTCTCCTGGATTCAAGTCTCTGCTCAGCATGATCCTAACCTAAGCAGAGCCCTTAAACCCCTGAGCTATTTCTTGCTAAAGCTAAACCAAAGGAAGGTCTCGGGGTTACCGAGGGAGGCAGAACGCAGGATTCCTGAACTCTGGGCAAAACACTTCGCTTGTCTCTACCACAGCATCTGTCGTTCTTCTCTGTCAAGAAAACCCTAAATGAAGACAGGCAAAGTCTAGGAGAGATGTCATTTTCCTGTTTTATTAGGCAAACTCTGTACAAAGGTGTCCTGTACACAACTGCGTTTCCCGTAGTTCACTTATTTAAAAAAAAAAAAAAAAAAAAAAAAGGTTAGTTACAAAAACTTCTTCCAACTACATCGGGAACGTATCTTACAAACGTTGCTTTAGTGCTGAATGGGCCTTTCAATCCATCGGCTTTGTGGAAGGCCATAAATATGTGCTCTTGGTTTCGGCATCCGGTTGTCCTATTTACAAGATTTCCGTAGTGGAAAATAAAGGAGTTCCAATAGTGTAACGGTACCATTAAAAAAAATGACTGCAGCAACTTGACCTGTAGTGTCGATTGGGCTGTTGCAGACTGACTGCCAGAGCAGTAATCCTCAACCGCCATTTAAAATGTACAACCTCCCCCCGCCCCTGTCCTGCCCTCCTCTCCCCTCCCGCCCACTGATACAACATGCATCTTGTGTACATATGTACATGACCGCCCAGGTATAGAAACCGGCTGCTGGGATGGACCGGCATTGCTCCCAGCTGTCAAGTAAATCATTTTGCTTCCTCTGGTCTTGATTCAGTTAACAAACATTCCCCTTTGGAAAATAAAATAATTTAAAACATTGCATATGTTAAAATACCTCTCTAAGCAACCCGGGATTGGGGCCCGATAGCGTCGTAAGAAAGCTTCTGAAGCCTTAAATAAAGTCTAATAATCTACCCAACTAAAAGGAAGGGAAGTCACCTGTTCTTTCTGCACAGGGGGTTTATTGTGCAGTCGCAGGACCTGAAAGAATAAAGTTCTTTCCATCTCAAATGCTTAAAAGCATAGCAATGAGCTCCACTTTGTTCTTCGTCCTCGCTGGGGGCAGGGAGGCCTGGGCTCGACTTCTGTCACCTAGAACAAAATGAGTGTTATTTGGCAGTAGGTCCTCGTGGCAGTAAGGTCGCCCAGATGGCCCTTGGGACCGGGGATGAGAGCGGGTCAACCCGCTGCATGCAGCTGCATGGAAGCAGGACGGCTGCTGTGGCTCTCCGGGTATGAAGTGTTATGTTAGGAGTGACGGTAATTGCATGAAGAATAGATGATAGATTTCTGTAGGATGGTTTGGACGTGACCCCTGGAGCTCCCTTCTAGCCTACTTCTGTGATGACTACTGCAGTGAAACTAAGGACTGGCTCAGAGATGTGAGCAGTCAGTGTGAGCCACCACCAAACACAACCCCGGAGGTGAACTGCGCAAGCATTCTCCGGTCCAAGAAACACCCATGACAGTCCGGCAAGGTGCGGGTGCTGGGCAGGCTGCTGGCATGGGTGCTTGTCTTGGGGATGGAGTTTGCATGATGCCAGGAGGGCTGCGAAGAAAGAACGCTGCTGCTGTAGCACAATACCAAGCCACCGGCTGAAGACCGATGTGGCTCAGAGCCGTGGGCTGAGCAGCCTTGGGTTGAACCGTCCCGGCACAAGGGCAGATGGATGTAAGTCTAGCAAGGCTTTGGGGTTTTTTGGGCTGAACTCGGGCACCTGCGCAGTGCGAGGAGAGTTGGGCTCTTGTTGTGTCCACAGCTAGGTTCCTCTGAGCTTTTCAGAAAAGGTCCCCAGGGCTGGGCCACGAAGGGGTGCCTGCCATGTCTCTCCCACCCTCCCACCACTACCCTTATCTGTCTTTGCCCTCACTTGCATCAGGAAGCTATTTGCCCCTTGCAAATTAAGGAGGTCTCCTCTTACATCTTCCCCTCGCTTCTCTGCCCAGGGGAGGGTGGCTGAGGAGGGACTCGCTTATCCCAATGCAAGGCAGCAAGGAAGGGACTCGGGCCCAGCATGGAGCAGCTGCCTGCTGTCAAGGCAAGGTCTGCTAACGTCCTTCTGACACTGTGGCTTAACACAGAGGGCCGGGCCTCAGTTTAATCAGCAGGACGCAGCCACGTTCTCCTGCCTTGTCTCAGCCGATCAGTGAACAGACAAGGACAGCGAAGGTAACGTGGATGTCTGGTTGCTTGGTCTGTCAGACCTGCTTCTTCCCTCGCCAACCCTCAGACAGCTCGTGCCCTTGTTAAGCAAGAGGGAGGCACGGGGAGAGGGGAGGAGGAGGGAGCTGGAGCCGAGGCAGTGGCAGGTTCAGACTGGGGATCTCAGACAGATGAGTGATCTGCCAGCAGGAGGTAGCTCTGTGCCTTGCACACGTGGCTCAAAAGATGGCGCTGCCCTGGGGACAGCGGGCACCTGACCCAGCGACCAGCCCATCAGGGAACAGGCACGAGCTAAGCAGGATGTGTGCAGGCTGAGCACCTGCTGCTCCTCTCTCCCAGCACCTGGCAGGGTGCTACAGCTGTAGCACAAGGCCTCCTCCAGTCTAACTCCCTGGTGGTTGTGGGTCACAAGCCTTTGCCACCAGGTGCTAAGGCAACAGGCAGCAGCAAGTGGCATCCTGGGATGCTCCAGAGCTTGGAGAAGACATCTCCGAAGGCTTGAGATACAGTTGTAGTTCCCAGTCTCAGGGCACCAGGTGGAAATGCTGAGCATGCAAACTCCAGCAGCGAGGGAGGGAAAGAACCGAGTCACAAGCTCGAAGGGCATAACGACCCCCAGAAGAGTTCCCGCAGGCAGCGCTAGGACTCTGCTGCCTCACGCATGAGAAGATGGGCATGTCCCCTCCATGATTTACAAGTCTCCCATTAATGGCTCTCCTAGCTGATCTGCTGCTTCTGCAGGTCAACACCCCCAGCGCGGGCATGTGCGGGGTGCGCTCCTTGGAAGTGCTCACCCACGTAAGCCCTCCGGTACCAGTAATCCCTTCTTACCAGTAGCTTCTTTTAAAGGGGGCGGCCACCTTCTGCACAGTGCTGATGAAGGTGTTCACATCCACCACGAGGATCCCTTTGCTTTCAAAGACCTCTCTGCTGACGCTAGGCTTATCTGTAAGCGGAAAAAAAAAAAAAAAAAAAAAAAAAAAA